TTATGTCTGCTTTTTAAAATAAATGTATGATAATCAATTACTCATGCTTCAAAGCAACTGCCACTAGATTCCCCATCAGAAAAGCTGTTTGGAAAAAGTTCCATTTTCTTTTCCCTTACTCTCTGGGTTTTAATAAGGGACTGTGCCCACAAATTAAAAAAAGAAAAATGCTTTTGTAAAATAAGTGCCAATCTTAACTCACATCAACAAGCTAGTCTTACCACAAGGTTACAGAAAAGGGCCATCTTCGTTGATTGACACACTAATAAAAGTGTACATGCTATGAAACTCTTGGGCCTGATTCTCCTCTCACTCATACCTTTGCCAACCAGAAGTAACTCTCCACTGATGTCCAAGGAGTGACAATGGCGTTAAGTGAGAGGAGAGTTAGGCCTCACACATTTAACTAAGACATCTAAAATGTTTGCGTACAAAACTTGCCTAGTTTTGGTTTCCATTAGAAACTCTAAACTCTGAACATTTTTGTGGAAACATTTGTTAAGGGGCTGATCTTTTTTCCCATTGAAATCAAGGAGAGTAGTCACCATTAACTTCAGTGGGAGTAGGACTAATTCCTAATGACCATGAACGACCATTAAGTTTTAGGTGAATATGGGCCTAGATGGGAGTGAATCTGGACCTGGGTTCTAGTAATGCTGGTTTCTGCTTCAAGCAAACATGGCCCAATTTATCATAGCGACCAGCCAACTTTCCTGTTTTCAGCATGCCAGCTGGAATAAACTCAGCAGCTGTAATAGGGTTTGGCTGTGAGATGTTGGATTTGTTTGAACCCCACACCCAAAGGATGCAAACCCACATGGATCGCAACCAAGGAAAATATTTGCATGATCTGCTGGTTGGTGGAGCACCATTTTTCACACAGTTCTAGTAACAAAGTATTTGAGGAGGGACGGAGTTAACTGCATATGTGTGCCCATTACCCATGCAGCCGCATCTAGAGAGCATCAACAGTTGCTCACCTATTTTCACAATGGGAAATAATCAGGTATTAGTTGTCAAGGAATAATCAAGAGGAATCTAGGTCAAAATCAGAGGAAGAGTGCCCTGTCCATTTGATGAAATTTGCAAACACAATGCCAGTATAAAAACAATGAACTTATTTTAATGGTTATAATATCTCCTCAGACTCCCACATAAGAGTGGAAACATGAAACTGCTTTGTTAGAGTAAAATGCACTATTCCCTTAGTTTGATTTTGAAAGGTATTTAAAATCAATATAAAACTGCAATATCCGAAAAATTTATAATCATTATTTCAAACAGGCAGACTTGAAAGAGTCTCTTGTTCGTGGGGAAATCTTCAGTTAGTTTTTCTAGTACCAGTGGTTCAATCGAAAGATTCACCAACTGCCCCCTGGAGAAAACTGAAGATCTGCATTTAAATGGAGATATAGTATTTCCAAATGCGCAGTACCTGGAAGGCAGATACTGTCAAGGTTTCTTAGTGAGTGGATCTCAAATTGTATTAGGTACATTTCAGCACAGTAACTATCCCCATTTCATAGGAGTAGGACTATTTCCATATCATTTTTTCTATGTGCATACTTTGTAATATTTGTCCTAAGTTAAAATTCAACCCTGATCCAAAATGAAGCCCTCACTTACTAACAACAAGCAATTACTACCTTATATATAATTTTCTGATATGCACAATGAAGACCATACTAGATTGCCTGTCTAGAAATGTTAAATAATTGAAAAGTATGATGGCTTAATAGAATAGTAAGCTTGGTTTACAATGCAGTCAATTTAGAGCCATAAAAACACTGTAAAAATTTTATCTTGCGGTTGACCATTACATATCCTATTTATTATTCAAAAGTATTTCAACAGCATTTTTCTTCATTAATGTGGCTGCTGGCATTTAACACCAAGTCTCTACATTTGGATAATTTTCCAAATATAATTTTAAAACAAACTATCTAAAATTCAGTAAATCACAGCATAAATGCTGTATTTTCATATTTTACCTTAAACTTACTTGGTGGGCTGTAAAATACATTCAAAACCCAGGAGACTTTGTAATCTAATAAATCAAAGTGTGTGTGTGTGTGTGTGTGTGTGTGTGTGTGTGTGTGTGTGTGTGTGTGTGTGTGTGTGTGTGTGTGTGTGTGTGTGTGTGTGTGTGTGTGTGTGTGTGTGTGTGTGTGTGTGTGTGTGTGTGTGTGTGTGTGTGTGTCCCCTATATATAACATTTAAAAAGCCAGTATATCTACCTCCGGATGACACATCAGAAAACCAAAATCAGATCTTATAAATACTTTTTTTTCCCTATCCTATACAATTGCAAAGTTTTGCATGAGTATGCTGTTAAGGCATATATAATGTTTATAGTGAAAAAGACACTCACGATCAATTTCAAACACACAGACATTAGTCTAGGCAGCCTCTTGCTGAAATTCTGGTTGCAACTGAAATGTCCCTGTAAACAAGGTTACTGAGAACAGACCAAGATATCCTTCTCAGCAACACCTTCACCAGGAGCCCTTCAGCTGTCTGCTTAGTTTGTTATACCTTATCTTGCAGCACTGACATTCTAATGCTGATTCAAATTCAGGATTCAAAATGAAAGATGAACTATCTTTAAGATCACTTAATATTGAAATACTGTTGCAGTAATAAGTGGTGCTAGGTTTGAGATATGGCTATAGTACTCTAATAGTCACCTTTTAATTTCTGAAAAATAGTGCAGAATAAATGAGGTATTGCACACAGTTACTGTCATTGATTTAGTTGTATTTTGATACTGAACACATCAAATGCCATGTTTACCTCCTGCTGCATCTTGAACATTTTAAACTGTAAAGTCCCCCTAGGGGAGACCTGTCAGATTCCAGTTTATGCATTTAAAAATTCACTTGTTACACTGGTACTTTAAAATACAGGGAACAAGAATGTAACCATACAAATCATTTCTTGGTCCCAAGCCCTTGGATGTTTTCAGTGGAAGTGCAATAAGGGGTTGACTGTCCATGCATACAATTTAACTTGGGTTATCTTGCAAGTACTCACATTTTAGCTTGACATTTGAGATGCAGTGTATCAAAGCTTTACACTTCTTCACCTTTAAAATGGGATGGGGGTGGCAAGGAAAACAGAAGATTCCAAAATCTTGTTTTCCCCACTAACTGCCTTCTACAGCTCACGTACTTCCCTTATACAACCAAGGAGCTATGTTCATAGTTCTTCACTGTCTTTTATTTGAAGGGCATTCAAATTTCCCTCCCTCGTACAGACTGTGGTACTGTCTCAATTTGTATGTTTTGTTAAAGTCCTCTTAACTACATCAAAATGACACAGTTGGGGTTAAAAACAACAATAAAAGGGATCAAGGCCCCCGATTCCATCCTCTCTACCCCCACCCTCCACCTTTACTTTACTTTCTTTTTAAATTCTACTCATTTTTATTTGCCGCTTTCATTATTCTGCTCATTTCTGAAATGCATTTCTCTTATGTGATGTTTGGTACCCTGCAAAATCTTTTAACAACAGCACACCAAGCAGTCAGAGAACTGCCCCTGCAGCACTTCACAACATATCCTCAGACTACTTTATCTTTTATAGCATTACTGTTACATTAAAAAAAAAAAAAAACCCTGTCAGGCAGATCACATTTAGACAGCAACATGAGATCACTTCTCTAAAACCCCTCCAGACTGGAGCTGGGGTACCGCCAAGATGAAAACTACATCCTACGTTCCACACTTTCCTTTTGTCTGCCCAGATTCTGTTTGCAAATGACTTGCTTTCTTTGTGTGTATAGACGTGTCAGGTTGTATGTCCACTGATTCTGGTACATACTACAACACAAACAGAACAAAGGTGCTTTCCTAGCCAAGCAGCCCCATGTGGCAAATTCACAACATCACTGAAGCAACCAGGCTACAGACAGAAATAAATGAATACATAATAAATAATAACAACAATATTGTTGTTAATCCCCTCCACCACAGTGACAAACAGAGTTTCCACCAGGCCTGTTTGGCTCTTGTGAATCACTCATGGAAATGTTTAAGGAAGAAGAAGGGGAGAGGGGGGAGGAAAGGGAAGCGTCTCTCCGTCTCTGGGTCCGTCGCTTTCTCCTTAGAGCCTAACGGAGCTTAATCTAGGGGGAACCACTGCATCGTGTTGGCCGATGGGGGCTGCTCTCGGCAACCCGGGGGCCGAGATAGCAAAGCAGTAGCAGCAGCGAGCTGGGGATCGCGGAACTTCTGAGCTCCCTGCGAGGGGAGCTAAGGGAGGCTGCGAGACACACTCGGAGCAGGAGCAGCAGCGGCCACCACACACAGTGACAACAGCTGTAAAGTCAAGTCCCCCTACCCCTTTTGCAAAAGCAAAAGCCACCCCAGGACCCTGTCCCCTAACTCCGGCTCGGTAAAACCTTGTCACTTTCACAGCACTCTTGATCCTTTGGAAAGAAGGGGGGAAAGGAGGTGGGGGGGGGGCCCGCAGGACAAACCCTGCTGCGTTTGGATCTGTCAGCAGAAAAAATGCCAATCTCTCTCTATAATATATTCTTTAAAAAACGCCAAAGAGCTGAAAATCGATCATCCCTGGAGCCTGGGTTTTGTTGTGTGGTTTTTATTTTATTTTTTAAGGGACTGACTCTAAGCAAGTGAAATTGACAAGGTCTGAAGGTGGGAGGGGGGGGGGGTAATAGAGCTTCTATCAGCTGCTAGTCTCAAATCAAAAACATGCCCCAGATGCAGTGTCAGTCTGCAGACGTGCATGATGGTAAGGTTGGGACTCGGTTTACCTGGTCAGGTCAGAACCGCAGGCAGGTTAATCAGGTGAGTCGTCGGGAATTTTAAAGAAGCCGAAGCCGGTTTCTTTGCTAGGAAAGTCTACAACACCATGCAGGGACATTGCAAAATCTTTACACACGCCTCCTTTAACTGGGCTCCCGCGACCTCAGCCGGCGAAGGGGGGAGGCTTAGCCGAGGCAGGCCCAGGCCACCTCCCCATGCCCTGGCCAGGGGATCAGCGGGCTGCCCCGCGGCACCGGGGCCACCTAAGCGGCTGCTCTGCGCCGGGCGAGGCGGGTTCCAAGGGGATCAAGGGAGCGGCGGGTGCTCGGAGGATGCGGAGGCCTCCCTGTTTTCTTGGTAGAGTCGATCCGCACTCAGTCTGACCCAGGACGTCACTCTGCCTGTCTGTTTTCTCAATGATAACTTGGCAGGAGAAGGGGGAAGCTGCCAGGTTTTCCCTGGGCTCATAACCTGGTATGTGCACGTTTCTTTGCATGCATTTTTTTTGGGAGGGGGGGAATTGACACTTTCTAAATAAATACATAATCTGGTGGTGTCGTTAGCGGACGGCTCTGCTGTATTTGCATTGATGGAGTCGCTGTGTGTGTTTTTCGCTGCTGCTGAAGGAATCAAGCATGCGTTCGTCTTTTTGTCTTTCATTTTACCTTCAGGGTGACATTCAGTGCCAAGTGCTCTTTTCTGGTCATCGCCAAGTCCCACCTGGAAAAAAAAAGGGTGGTGGGGAAGGGGGTGCCAACCCTCAGGCAGCCCGGATGCTGGGTAGTAAATCCCTCCTGCAACAAACGGGACACTTCTCCCACTCACACATAGGAAAACAAGCCATTTTCTAAGCCATCGGGGGCCAAAGAGAAAGAGCAACAGAAAAGCTAGATGGATCTAGAGAGTCCAATAATGTTCTTGCTTTGCACTGGCAGAATTGCGTTTACCAGGCACACGTGTATAGGCCTTGCACAAGGGTTATTTCTGTATCTCAGAAATTTGCTTTAGAGCTCCTTGGGAGGAAGGGGAGGGAGAAGCCCCCAGCTGAGTGTATCCATATGGTACAGTATTAAATGTAGGGATTGCCTAGTGTTAGTGAACACAGCAGGGCAGACAGAAAGACATTTTAAAATTCACCAGCATAATGGTGTCTCTTTTTTTAAAAAAAAGCCTTGAACACCATTTTCCTCAAATATTATTATTTAAGATTATCTTTCACTACATCAGCTGCAAAGCTTCCAAAATATTTATTTCTGAAAATGTAATAAAATGTTTTATATAGAGAGAGAGGCTTAATCCTGCAACTACCATTAAAGTCAATTTGCTCGCACTGCACATATGTACTTTTTAAAAAAAATCTACTTAGTCAGTTTAGTGTTTGCCTTAATGCACATATGTGCAGTCTGACTGGATTAAAGTTGCAACAAGAAGCTTAGCTTTTCATTCTCTGACTTTTGTAAGTCTTAGGGCTTGTTTACATTACCCGCTGGATTGACAGGCAGCGAGCGATCCAAGAGGGGTCGATTTATCGCGTCGGCCGCCGAGCACTCTCCTGTCGACTCCGGTACTTCACCAGGGTGAGAGGCACAGGCGGAGTCGATGGGAGAGTGTCAGCCATCGACTTACTGCAGTGGGGACACCACGGTAAGTAGATCTAAGTACGTTGACTTCAGCTACGTTATTAACATAGCTGAAGTTGCGTAACTTAGACTGATCCGCCCCAGTGTAGACCAGGCCTTAGGCCGCATCCGGCTGTGTCTACACTACAGTGATTATATCAGCATAGCTATGTCAGCGTAGCTATGCCGGCATGACCCTGTAATGTAGATGCAGCCAAAGGGGGTTTTCCATCGGTGTAGGAACACCACCCCTCAAATGAAGTTAGCTACATCAGCAGAAGCATTCTTCTGTTGAGATAACTGTGTCCACACTGGGGCTAGGTGGGCATAGTTATGTCAGGGTTTTTGACACCCTTGACCAATGAAGGCCAAAATTGTGTGAACCTAACTTATGTCAGCATCTAGCCACTGCAGTTATTAAATCAGTCATGTGTGTGCACACTTGGCTTCTTGTGTCAGCGCTGTGCATCCTCATCTGGAGTGCTTGCATCGATTGTATTGTTAGTGTTGGACATTGTGGGACGGCTTCTGGTGGCCAGTAACAGTTGACATAAGCAACGCAGTGTCTACATTGACACTGAGTCGACCTAATTACCTCGACCATGACTCTGCGCTGATCAGGGAGATTATATTACTAAATTGACGTAAAGAGGCACTTATGTCAGCTGGAGCCAAATTTTAGTGATGACACTTCTGCAGCTAGGTTGATGCAAGGCAGCTTTCATTGACCTAACTCTGTAGTGCAGACCAGGCCCTAGTTATGTCAACCTAACTTTTAAGGGTAGACCAACTTGACACATGAGTAGTTACACTAAACTCAAGCAACTTCTCACATCTGTGAAGTTACTCACATGCTTAAGTGTTTGCAGAAGTGGCACTAACTTTGCAACCTCAGCAGTAACTTAGGTTTTTGCACTATAGAACTAAAGACTAATTATTTTACACACACATACACCTTAAATACCCAAAACTGTGTTAATGCATATTAAATCTGCACACTTAAATCGCAGAATTCAGAGAATGCAAAAATTAAGGATCCTATGGCAGAGCTAATTCTGCTCATTTGCACCTTCTTGTGTGCTTTATTACCTATTTTTAATAGCAAATTATAATATGCTACGCTACACATTTAACCAGAAAAACAGGAATCGCAAATACTGCATGTGTGCAATGTGGATGATGTAAAGTTATTGCTGGAACTTTACATTTTGCATTCCTGTGATTTCAGTTATGCAACCTTAATATTAGATTAACGAACTTTTTTTTCCATTTAATTTCCCAGGTTTTTTACATGTAAAGAAAAAAGGAAAAATTGTCTGTGCTTAATGTTATTAGCACGTAAATGGTCCTAATTAGGTGTTGGCATTCACACTTTATTGAGAAGATGGGGTCAAACAGAGGTAAATTCCCACTTTTCCTGCTGCTGTTGTTTGACTGGACAATTTTCTGCAAGGCTGGGTTAATAGGGCAACACCACATTGATTTACATTGTGATGTCTGTATCTTTCAATTTGAAAGAAAGAGAGCTGTTTTTTTTAAATGAAAACCTAGAACTTTCAGAATATGGTAGGATACAGCCAGACTCTAAAATTGCAGGATCTGTTGTTGTTTTTTGTTTGGTGGTTTGTTATTTTTTAAAAAAGTTTTGTTGCTGTTTTGAAATAAGACTTCTACACTCTCCTGCATGTAATATTTCTTGGAGCAACAGAATGCATTGCTTAAAGGATTTGAATATATTGTTTTCTTGGCTATAGTGTGCCATCAGTTTTTAAGCAGGACTGCCTGTTGATTGCAGTGGAGAATTCTCCTTAACAATTAAGGGCATGATATGGCTGCCTGAGAGGTAAATTGCAGTTGCTCAACACTTCTCACTGTCTGGCCCTGTGAGATCAAAGGACCGATTGTGATTGTGGGAGTGATTATTTACAAACTAATTTTTAAAGTAAGTATCTTTAAAGAAGTCTATGTATTTAAAATATATTAAATTTCCAAAAAATAAATGAGTATCAGGCCTTTCCTAAACCAACAACAGAGAAATCAGTCTAACTCTGTAAGTAAGAACTTAGCTGTAGGCCCAAACTCAGCCTTGGTGAAATCAGCTGAGTTGTGCCCCTTTGCAGCATAGTTAACTTTAGCCTATCGAGTCATACAGCAGACAGTTTATTCAGTTGTCAAAGGAGCATAGCTTAAAAATGTATGCACAATGTAGGCCTACTACGTCTTCTCCAGTGTGATTAGAATATGAAGTTACAGTCAACCCTTTTCCACTTAGCCCAGTCTTGCAGACTGTTCACATGTAAAAATTAGTCTGCCTTCAGTGGCAGACAGTCCTGCACAGGGAAACAATTCAGGACTGGGTCTCAAGGGACGCCGGAGTCCTGAGCAGGGGCGTGGCCTCAACCGGAAGAGGCAGAGCCTTAAATCCGGAGACCCTTTAATCTTGATTTAAAGGGCCCAGGGCTCCAGCTGCAGTAGTGGCAGCTGGGAGCCCCGGGCCCTTTAAATCACCCCCGAGCTACCAGCTGCAGAGGCGGCTGGGAGCCCCGGGACTCGGGGGTGATTTAAAGGGCCCAGGGCTCCAGCTGCTGCTACCGCAGCGGCACACCGGGCCCTTTAAATCACTGAGGAGCCCTGGGGGCTCCCAGCTGCCACCGCTACCCTGGGGCTCTGGGCTCTGGGCTCTGGCAGAGCTTTAAAGGGCCTGGGGCTCCATTGTGGTAGTGCATTTAAAGGGCCCCGGGGCTCCAGCCGTTGCTACCACCCGGCCCTTTAAATTGCCGCCAGAGGCCCGCCCCTGCTACCCCAGGGTTCCGGCAGCAGGACTCTGGCGGGGATTTAAAGAGCTGGGGCTGTAGCAGCAGCTGGAGCTCCAGAGCCCCGCCGCCGCCACCCCAAGGCTTGGGCAGCAGGGCTCAGGTGGGGATTTAAAGGGCCGGGGCGGTAGCGGCGGCTGGAGCTCCGGGGCCCTCTAAATCCCCACTGGAGCCCCGCCGCTGCTACCCCAGGGCTTTAAATTGATGTCTGGGAAAGCCGGTCCCAGTACGGCACACCGGCTCTTGCCGGTACGCCATACTGGGGCGTACTGGCTTACTTTCACCTCTGGGTATACTCCACAAAGGGAAACAATTAGATTTTATAGAACCCACTCTTACTCCTGTTTGAATTCCAGTAGAAGTTTTGCCATTGGGTTTCATTGGAGGCAGTGTTAGGCCCTTAACTGCAAGAATGTCCAATGGGTTATGAGAAACAAAAGCAAAAAAACATTTTAAAACTATGAAAAATAGATTGGCCATATCCTTTTAAATACTCAGGGTCCATTTTTACTTTATACACTGCTCCATTTAAAGCAGTAGGTCTAACTGAAGCACCATTAAAAGTGAATCATTACCTTAAAGAGGAATTTCTAATAAACTTCCACAGAATGGGTTGCAGAATTAATATGGCATTTAGAAGACACTTTAAGAATAAGGTTCTGATTTGGAACTCATACAGTTTAAGTCAGGAGGAACTCCACTGAAGTCAGTACAGTAATGCCAGTATAAAATCAGCGGGAATGAGATCAGAATCAGGTACCTGTAGCATAACTGGTTTATAGGAACATTATGAAAATGAGAGTCTAACAAAAATATCCTATAGTTTAATGCTAAGCAGAAAACTGTTCAAAAGTCATTCTGACTAAAGCTGGTAGGGACTCTTTTTGACAAAACATTTTTTCACGCGGGAGAGGGGAGGAGAAAAACCCACCCCAGAACAGTCTCTAGCCCAGTGGTTAAGGCATTAATCTGGGAGATGCAGGTTCAAGTCCCAATTCCAAATCAGGCAGAGCAGGGACCTGAACTGGACTAATCATTCTGG